GCAAGATACTTAATTTTTTAATATGCCTGAACTTTCCAATTTTAAGAAAATCTTAAATTTTAAGGAAAATATTTTTTATTTATTTTTAATATTTTCTTCTCTTGTGGAAGTGTTATTGAAAAGCACCACAACAGTTGTAATGTTAAATAAATCAAAAACAGTAAGTTATACCTAGCACTTAAGCAACTATGCAAATTCAGTAGTATCAGAAGAAGAGAAGACAACATATGGGATTTTTATTTATAAAAAAAAAAAAAAATTCCTCTTCAAACTACCTGAAGCAACCTATTCCACCTCCCTGACTTACTCCCAACTCCCTCCCATTCACCACTGTAGCCTATGGGACACACATGTGATTATAAACAAGGTCTGCATCCTGAGTCTCTTCAGACTCCACCTGCACATGAAAGGAAACCTGCCGCCTCACCCAGGAAACTGCTTCCCCTGCAGACAGCAAGAGAGAATGCTATTCATTCTTCTGGACTCTGTAATTTCCATACCTTTCCATACCCCTCCTCCTACCTTGAAGTTCAGAAGTAATGGCAGTATCACCATCCCTCCACCTACCTATCCATCCAACAAATATGTACTTAGTGTACAAATATGTACTTAGATTTAACAACCTTTAAAATCCAGTGAGACAAATGCAAAATGACCAAACAAATAAAAAATTGCCAATTATGAAAGAAAAGAGTAGGAAGCTATATGAGAAAATGAAGGGGATCTAGTCAGGCCAAAGTAGGAGAAAGAGTATTTCAAAAGAAAACAAAGGAGTGAAGTTGGTCTTCGGGGAAACCAAGTGCAACTGGGTATAGAGGGTGAGGAGGAGAGTGCTGGAGAGGGTGAGGAAGTGGGTAGAGCCTTGAGGCCATGGACATGAGGGCCAGAACATGCAAGACCTTAAGGGTCAGGTTGAGGACTTTGGATTTTATTCTAAATGCAACCAAAACCACCAGGAGAGTCTTAAAACATCCACTCCTTATCACAGTGACCTACTCATCTGCCCACATTTAACCGGGATGCTTGCTCTTCAGCTCCACCCCAATCCCTTCCGCGTTCTAGATGGCTTCAACGTCTATGCCTTCTCAGTTACACAGCATCCTGTGCTCCGGTGACCTCCACTCCACCTCAAGCAAACCTCTCCCTTTTTCCTTGTCCCAAACTATTCCACCTATGAAAATCCAATTCCAGTATTTCATTCTCAGACCAGTCCTACTCTTCAACCTCCTACCAGTCCTACTCTTCCACTCCCTAGCATGCCTGTCCTCCAACCTTCAAAATTTATTTGATTAGCCAAAAATTGAAAGTAGTTCAATCTCATTGGAATAGTGAAAACTTATTACTGTTTCCTCCATCCCTACCAAGGCATGTAGGCTTCTCTACACCTTCCTCCATGCTCATACCAACATATGTGAACTCATTCACAAATAGAGATGCTTGATTATGGAAAGTGAATCATACCAAATACATAATTCTGTCACTCTTAAGGTTAAACATTTTATAAAAATAAAAGCTATGAACAAATCTCAAGCCAGCAGATACAGATCGAATTCATTCTTCAAGTTGCCTTACATTACTCTAGGTGCACACACCGCCGGTGGTTCCCCTCCAAAGGGAACTTTCGCTTGTTGTCTGGTGCAACTTGCTAACCCCTGAACACCTTGAAGTGGGCTCTTCTGTGGAGCAACGTGCTTCCAATGTTGGTAGTTGAGGAGAACTGATGCTCGTGACTGAAAACATCTGGGAGAAGAATGGTTTTTCACAGCCCTCCAGCAGAGGATAGCAGGTCTCAGGCCATAAGAACAGAAGCCATCCACCTTTCACCACCTGGTTTGCCACTGCCCAAGAAATGTGCATGGTGGCCTGCTGGCAGGTATTGAGGGAACCACCACCATGAGTAGGCGAGGAAGATTAAAACTCACTTATGGGGTTTGGAAAGAAAGATGGCCAGCAGGACAGAAACTTGAGATTCCTTCTGTAGTAGAACCAATGGAAGAAACAGATGAGAATTTTAATGAAAATATAATGGAATTACAGCACAAAAAACAAAAAAACAAAACCCAGTACTTTCAGGAACTAAAAAACATGATTTATTAATTAGAAATTCAATATCCAACAGAAAGAGAATGACTGCCCTTGAGAACCACATTAGTGGTCAGAAAAGTCAGGTGGAAATACCTCACAAGAAACCCTGTGACAGACCCCGAGGGAAAAGGCAAGTCGTGCGGAGATCAGATCCAGGAGACGAAACAAGGAGGAGGAAAGGAACATGTGGAGAGGTAATAATCACATAAATAACGGAAAACAACTTTTAGCATTCAAGAAAGTCTTGAGTCCCTGAATATCAAGGATAAAGAGGAAACCCTGCCAGGCTGTCAGCACTGTGGGACAAGGACCTTGTGGGATGGTGGAAAGCTGGAAGTAGAGGTGCTGCTTAGGGACACCAGGGCACTGACTCCAGGCCTCCCTAATGCTGGGTTTGGTTCACACACCAGTAGAGCCCAACGTCTATACTTAATGCATCACATGGAAACATTAAGCACAAAGACTGCTAATGTTCTTCTAGGGTCTGGCAAGCTTCCTGTTGTCTTTTGTCACTAGCATCTGAGGACCAGCCTCAGAGACTCCACAGTAGTCATTTCCTTCCACAGTCTATCTGAAACATTGCAAGTGCTTTTTTTTTTTTTTTTTTTTACTTATTTTTGAGAGAGCGAGAGAAAGAGCGTGCAAGAGCATTAGCGGGGAGGGACAGAGGGGGGAGAAAGAAGATCCCAAGCAGGCTCCGCACTGTCAGCACAGAGCCTGATGCAGGGCTCAAATTCACAAACTCTGAGATCATGACCTGAGCTGAAATCAAGAGTTGGACGTTTACTTGACTGAGCCACCCAGGCATCCCTGTAGGTACTAATTTTTAAATGTTATATGCCCAAACTACTTTGGTAAAAATTAGAAGTATAATAAAAAGAAAATATTCATAGATAAGGTAAATGCATGATTGTTAAAAGAAACCCTTACTTTTATTTATGACATGTATATGAAGGTAGTATGGTCATAGTTAAGAGCAGAGACTCTGGAATCCTACCACTTACTAGCTCTGTGATCTTGGGCAAGAAACCTTTTTGTGTTTTGGTTTCCTGAAAAATAAATGGAGTCAATAGCACCTACGTGTTAAATGAAAAGATTCAATGAGCTAGTACATGCTTGGCACCAGGAGCTTTGTCTGGCACATAGCAAACACTCGGTGAATAATAGCCGTGCTGCTGCTGCCACCATTGCTTGCGACAGGAAAACAGCACCGTACGTAGAACCTTAACTTCAGAATCAGAAGAGTTGAGCTCAGCTGCCAACTTTAAAAGTTAAGAGTTTTATACCACAGCCACGGTACTTAATCCTTCTATGCTTACATTTTTTTCAATTGTAAAACAGGAATATGAATACCTTTCTCTTTCAACATCCATCTGTCTATCCACAAACATCACCTGAGCATTATACACCAGCTATTGTCTAGTGGCTGGAATAAAAATCTGAGTAAGAGCTCACAGTCTAGTGAGCTCGTAGTCTAGTGAACCATACTCAGGAACCTTAGTTTCCTTTCATGTGAGCATTTCTTAAAGCTCCCTTTGCTTTAGGAGGTGAAGAAAGGACCACAAAGGGTAAGTATGCGTTTTAGCAAAAGTACTATGATTTAAAAAAAAAAAAAAAAAAAAAAAAAAAAAAAAAAAAAAGGCAACTTTAATGTTGTTAGCAATTGTTGGGCAAAAAATGTGGCCAGGTCCTGAAATTACTGTGTTGTGGTATTTTAAGAAAAATACTATCGAGCAGTCGGGTCATTGGCAAGTAACTCCTGTAGACCATATGGCAGTCTTAGGACTGAGGGAGACCGGAGAAAAGCAGAATCGCATTTCTGATCAGAGAAGAGGATAAAACATCTCGGGGAGACTCCTCTGTCCAGAGGCTGGACCATGTAGTAGACAATTTGCCTCTCCGAATGATCTTTTGAGACATGAGTGTCCTTTGAATAAACAGCTCTCAAGCCATTGTCTGAGAGGAGCTACTATTACTGGATTCCTTGTTGACTACATCGGTCCCCTTTGAGAGCGTCCTGCCTTGGCATATAGAGTGGGGGATTAAAGTGGGAACAAGCTCTTGGTATCTCTTCTATGTCATCACAATAATAAAGACCTTATCCTAAAGCTTCCTGGCATTAAGAGTGCTTATTTTGATCATCCCAAGGGAGCTGTCTATAGGAAGGGGTGGGACAAGTTGTTCCCCTGTAATCTTTTAGTAAACTCAGGGGGCTTTAGAATGTTTACACTGATAACACCAGACAATCACTAATAAAAAATTAAACACAAAAGAGACTGAATTCACAGGAGAGTCCAAATGCCCATTCTTTATAAAGAAACAGTGCGGGACAACATGTTTTCATCTGTCACCATCAGTTGGCATTTAATAGCTATAATTTAAAATTCTATATTAAAAGCCTCACAGAAATTAGAATCGCATCATACTTGAAACAGTATTAAGTACATTGAGACATTTGGAATCTTTAGAAAGTATGTAATTATACCATTTTTAAAAATTAATATCCAGAATATTTTCCTTGATTTTATATATATATAGCGCCACAATGTAAAACAAACTATATGGGTTATTCAAAATCATGTATTTGGCTCATAATCAGCCTAGCTTTATTACAAATTCACTTAAATGGTGGCTATAAACAAGATTCTGGTTTCTTTTGTGTACGTGAAAAACATTCTAAAAACCAGTATCATTTAAATAAGTATTAAATTAAACTAGAGCTAAGTGGAAATTATCTGGCAAAAAGGAATACTGACATCTATATCTTAAAGTTGCAATTGGATAATAAATTATATTTTAAAAATGTACATAAAAACTCTACTACTCCCACCCGTAAATTAAAGTTTATTTATTACCCAATCATGTTTTAGACTTAAAGTAAAATCCTATCGCTTATAGAAAATAAATCCAACAATTTATCCAAACATTGTTACATAAGAAGTTTTAAGAAACTGTAAATAATTCTTAATACTCTCATTTTGATTCTCCGACTTTTCAAGACTATGTTGTATTTCTTTCAAACATACTTCCTGGTGTTGTGCTTTCTAAATAAAAGAAGAAACAAACATAATCAATTATGGCATTCATATCAAAGGATCAATTAATAATGACATTCATATCAAAGGAGAGTCACAATGTAAAATTTATATATACACTAATTAAATACACAATTTTAATTTTGAAGAGAGAATTCTAACATCTGATATGTTCATTATTTACTTATCTTAGAGCTCACTTTTCTTTAAAATTCAGCATGACTAAAGTACATACATGGTTGATCTTTACTGTGATACTATTTTATTGAAACTATCATAATTAATTTTCACTACCTTTAACATGACCTATTTTAATACTAGTTTTTGCCATTTTCTCTGCCTAAAAATTTCTATTTTATACCATAAGACTTCTGCTGCCTTAAAAATTCCAGTTTTTATAATATGAACATTTTTAGAAATCTTTAAAAATAAAAAGAATTCTAAATATTATAGGTGTTCTTTATTTGAGGAAAAAATTCAAAGCCCAATATATTTTTAAAAATATTCAGCTGCACACAAATTCCCAAATCGATCTGTTCACTGAAAATACTTCAGATAGATAAGTTGCAGATACCATCTAGCTTCCAACTAAAATGTACATACCTTCAAAAGAGAAAGAAATCTTTGCATTCCTTCCTATCAGGTATTCAATGATACCTGATACCTTCTGAAACTGAGTAATGCCCTTTGGGAGAGGGAAGTGGCATGGGATGAAACAATGTGTGAGGATGGGCTACACAAAATCATAGAATGAATATAGTGAATCTTTGCGGAACATCAGTTTTACTCAACAGTTTGGAGGGAAAAAATTAATATGAACACACTTATATTGTAGGGTAGAATGTGAAATGTTTGCGGATTATAGGATAATGTATTAGACTCCAGAGACATTCAGGCTTCAGGAAGGATGGCCTGGGTTAAGGGGGTGGGGCCATGCCTGGGTCTGCATATCCACCCTGCCCCAGGTGAAGCACTTGGGCAGGAAATCTGAAGAAGCCTGCTACCCTGGGCGGGGTGCTGTGGAAGACACCAGGATATAATCAACTATGGGACAGGCTCTCAGGGTGCTTCCAATTCAACTGGAGCTAAGATATGTATATAAAATAAATACTGACCTGCCCATGGAACTGTCCCCTGAAAGGACAAAATACATAGACTCATTTTTCAGTAATGTCCAAACCAATGTTTAGAATTCTAGATTTTTACTCCTGTAAAAATTATCAGATTTAACAGAACCTCAGATCTTAAACTTCTTTCTTTTGGAAGCTTTAACGAAGTACTGGGGAATTATAGAGAAACCCAACTTATATTACTATTTTTTTTAGAACTTTAATCACACATATTTTATAGTATCAAAAATTCTGATGGTGGGAAAAACATTAAAAAATCAATCTATAAATAAAAGAGATTTAGAATAAAGGGAAGGCCCATGCTACATTAAAACTGAGAAACGTTTGTTCTGATTAAATTGCCATGGCACTTTTGATGGTGATAAAATGAAACTAAAATTGCATGCCAAAAATCATTTAACTTTTGAATCTTTCACGTTTTCAACTTTTAGACACTTGGGAATACAAAAATAGTTTTCGTGGTGTCTCCGGCTCCCAGAAAAGATAAAGTATCATCATTTTCTATGTAACCAAGTAGATAGTTTTCAAGTAATTTAGTCACGACTAGTGCTAGCTCTCATAGTGCCTTATGCCAACTGACTACTTTCATGAATATTTAGGAAAAGACATTAGAAGATTAATTAAACACGGCCAATTTGGTATTCTTATTTCATGGCTGAGTGGCTCAAAGCACCCGTCTCATATGCAGATATAACAATACTGAATATTTACTTAACACAAACTCATCACCTTCTAAAATATAATATTCATTACTCAAGACAGATATCAAAATCTAACTCATAATAGTTTAAATTGTGTATCTTAAAAAAATGAAAAATTCATACCAGAAATTCCTAAGTAGATTATATCTGTAACTTTCATTAAACAGTCATCATGCAAAAGTAATATGCAGGAAAGGGCCTGATGAGACTTGGGGAAATGTAATAGAAGCTACCAAGGATGCAGTATAATAATTCTTTGGCATAATCATGACATCTTAAATTTTTATGATTTATATAATTTGTTATTTTTAATATTACCAGTAAAGCAATCCCCTCACTTCATACTTTAACTAAACTATACAGTAAGAATGTTAAATGCTAATTTACTTTTTATGAAAATATATTAAGCCCTACAAATACTTACACTGTTCATTTTGCAAACAAGTTGACTTTGTTCTTCATTTTTCTTTCTAAGCTCAGTTTCCAGATCTAATATTTTAATCTGTAAAGCCCTCTCTCTAGATGACATTTTCTCTATTTCTTCAGAAACCTATAATTTTCATTAAGAGAGTAAAATAACTAAATATGCTTTCTTTAAAGTATGACTTAAACACTTGACATAGTTATACTATACCTCTTTTTTCTGAACAGATATTAACTGTATATTAGCTTAATTAGAAAATGTCTAAAGATGTTCTATCTTGAAAAAATACATATAGCATAAGTATGCTTATTTCTCTTTGCAGTTAAAAATATCTGCAAAATTAGCTTGAGATGGAAGAAGTATACACATTTGCACTCCTCTGTGACTTGGGTAGGTGTTTTTCCCACTACTGTATTTTTTTAACCTACTGAGGCCAACTTGCCAGTTGCCATCCTACTGTATGGATATTCACCGTGGGGTCTAGAGTGCTGACAGAGCATAGAAGGTTCTCATCCAGTGCTACTCACAGATTGGATGGATGAGATTGGGACAGAGCAGGAGATGTATACACGTCACTCACACACAAGAAACTGTTTTTTCATTCATTCACTTACAAAGTGGTCTGAATTTGAGTTTTCTATTTCTACGATGGCTTATTTTAGCAGAAAGCCTAGCTGAGCTATGTTCATCCAATGATTCAGATATGTGGGAGCCTTTCTGCAAGAATTCTGGGTTGGAGCCAGAAGAGTAAGAGTGGAGGCAGGGCTAATTCAGGAGTAAGGAGCTAGTGGGAAGGACTGTCCTCTAACTATATTCCTACTGTAAATTTAGTTCTAAGTTATTGTAATTTACAAAAATTTCTTTTGCACAAATTCCAAAGGCGACTGTGAGTGAGGGATGCTTGCAGGATGTAAAGCTGTAGGAGAAAGAGCCCTTGACAATGTCCTCAGTGTGGACAATGGTGACAGGGCAGTGCTGGCACCCTCACCTGGCAGGAACTAGAGACAGCCCCATGTTCCAGTGCAGCAGGAGAGAAAGGAGAACGTAGACACATCTCTGGGGAACTCTCAACACTTCTGAGAAGGAATCTGAGAACACCTACCATTTCTGAAGTCTACCTAGGCTGAACCCAGGATAAAGGCATTTATTTTCCTTTCAAAGGTTGATGGGGCTGAGAAATCTGGATTACATTCCTACCGTTGGCAATACATTTTGCTACCTAGTTTTTATTCAATGTTGTGCCTTTCAAAGTCAATTTAAATTGGTTTCCCACAATTAAAAAAAATCTAGATAGATAGATAGATGACACTTGCAATGTATGAGCCACACTTCAAGCACATCAGATTTTATCTAACTTATGTGGAATTGCCATTCACAAGTTCGTGAAAGACATGGGTGGAAAAGAGTTTAGAGGGAAAGATTCAGAATTTGGTAGTGGACATGTTAAGGTTGAGATGTTAAGTAGAGATGTCAAGTAAGTAGCAGAAAATCTGAGTCTAGATTTCAGGGGAGAGAGAAACCTGGGGAAGAGATACACATTTGAGAGTCATCATGGTAAAGAGGATCTCTTTTTAGCACCATTTAATCTGATGAGGAAACACATCATCCCCATTTACTAATTAGGAAACTAAAAGTTTAGAGAAGTGACTCACTCTGGGTCAGGGTGTAATGTCACCCTGAATTCAAACCCAGTCAGAGCCAGAATTCAAACCTAGTGCCTGTTGGAATCCAAAGACCACTTTATGCCCTTTCAAGATTACATTTTCAAATCATTTGATAAATGTATTTTTTCCTTAAGACCCTCCTGAATCATTTCCCAACACCCCCAGTTAAACTAACGACATCCTCTGGTGTACCTTGCACCCTCCCACTGTTGTAGCACCTACATGCTGGATGACGTTTGTCTGCTTGCCTATTATCTCCCTATTGGACTATGAGTGTCCTGAGAGCTGGGGCCAGGTCTGTTGGAGATGGTAAAAAAGACATGACTTCTAGGTAACCCATGAGCTGGACCTGGGCAATTGGAGGTTCCCCACCTTCTCCCCTATCCTTGAGGTATGTGTTTTGCTTTCCTTCCCTGGTCCCAGTAGCTGCTCCAGGTAAATAGCCTTGAGAATGAAATGTGACGTTGAGATTTTCTGGTCTGGGTACATGACTGAACCTAGTTAAAGGGCTTCCTTATAAACTTAAGAGTCTGTCAGGTGGCTGTGGAAATCTACTCATCTTGTGGCTGTCCAAGACAACTCTCATGTTCCCTTGCTTATTAAACCTGCCATTTTCCAACCAGGAATGGTGCATCTCTTTCTACGGTCTCTCTCTGCCCTCCACATGTGGGTTTCTGATTACACCAGGGAAACTGCCGATGAGCTTGGGAACGAACAAGGTCTTATTCATCTTTGCATCTCGAATACTAGCAGAGTGCCCAACACACAGTAAGATATTTATTAAATGCGAACCAAATGGATTTAACTGGAATTCAATTTTTCTTTAATTCTTGTATGTATTTATGCAATAATATTAGGCAAAAAGAAAAGGGAATGGAGCTTTACACCTCACCAGCTCCTAACCAAAATGTTCGATAATTTGCACAACTGCTTTTTATTCAAAAAAACAAAACAAAAACAAACAGGAGGGGGGGAATTCTTTCCATGTTTTCCATCTCTGCCCTCTACCCTGCCACATCATCATTCACCTAGTGAAGTAATTCTGTACCAGTAATACAGCTGTTTAGCTCCAAAAGGGAAAAGTTGGTAAAAAACAAAAATGTAATTGCTCTCTTCACCCTGTCATCAGGATAAAAACAATAACTGTCGGTTTGGTAAGATGAGATATTGTCTGTTTAAAAGGACGACTCTTCGGTAAACTAATTAAAAAGTTTCTAAATAAAGGCCATCTGTACCTTTTGTCTTCCTTCTTCTAAAGCAGCTTCCAGCTGTCTGGCCAATGCTGTATGTTCTGCAGATTTCTCTTCAAACTTAAGATTGCTGTGCTTAAGACATTCTTCTTGGTTTGCCAGTTTCTTTTCAAGCTCTTTATTTTCTGCATCCATCTGTTCTAATTTTCTTTTTGCAGAAAACATATATTTTAAAATTACAGTGTATAGAGAAAAATGTAACACCAATTTTAAGTCAATTTAATACTTACTGTTTAAGGTTTTCACACTTCAACTGAATAAGATAATTTTCCTCTTCCAAAGAAAGCTTTTTTAGAAGATTATGATTTCCATCAACCTAAAAGAAGGGGGGAAAAAGTTTTCTTGGTTATTTTCTTTATAAGCAACTTCCAAAGAAATCTATGTACTTTAGTGTTAGAATAATCATTAAAGAAACAAGAAGGCCTAAATATTATTATTACTCCTACACAGAGAGACTCAAAGAAATAATTACATTTTTAAAACAGAAGTTCTTAAATTCCTGATTAAGTTTTTTTTTTCAAAAAAACTATGCTGTCTCATAGGAAATCATCTACTAGAAGGTTTTTTCTGAAAGATGGCAATTAAAACATTCTGAACAATGCTTTGTTGAAAAAGGATGTTTATTTTATTAAGTAAATTTGAAGACTAAAACTCATTAATCTCCTATTGTTGCATATTTAGAGTTACTCTTACAGTTTCCTGCTTCATCTCAAGATAGTGAATGATAATTGAACATCTATGAAGTTAACTATGAGTGAAAACTGTATTTGTGAGAAGCAAAATAAAATGAACAAACAAATCAACCAAAGACAACTTGTTCATGCCAAGACCAAATACTCTTCCCATTGCTTCAAAAGCTATACTTATTTTAAGAAGCCTTGAAAATAATTTTTTTCTCATAATTTAATTTATAATTTGGGTTATCTACGTAGATTTGGCATTCTCCTACAAAAATCTCTTCTCGGGAATTTAAATTTAGCAAAGATTTATTTGCATGTTTTTTTTAAAAGCAGGATGCATTTCAAAATTAAAATCCCGGTTACATTTGGAAGATAGGGAGTTGTTTTTGCAAATAAACAAAAAGACTTGCTACCTCCTTGCATATACTTCTTTGAAAAAGTAATTAATTAAAAAAATATTTGTAAGAGCTTACTCTGTGCTAGGTATTGAATCAGAAGATGGTATGTGGATTCTCTCTCTCCCTCTCTCTCTTCCCCTGCCCTGCTCATGAGCATACTGTCTCTCAAAATAAATTAATTAATTAAAAAAAAAAAAAAAGGAGATGGCTATGTGGTGACTAACAGGGCATCAATGATCCCTGTTCTGATGGGAGTAAAAAAAATAATAATAATTGAGAATAATCCAAATGAATTTGATGCACAATTCTAATGAAAATAAATTCTAATTTTTGTATGGTAAGTTATGATAATTTGGCTTATCATGATATCAAAAAGATATATGTAAACATAGTATTGCTCCTCTCATGCTATTACTGTGTTCTCAAATGTCTAAATACAGATTTATACATATAAAATGAGCTATTTTAGCTACCAATTTTCCACGATAAAATACTATAAGAATAGGTTGCAAAATATTACAGCATCTGCAATAAACTGATAAATTGACTTAAATGGGAGTTAAAAAAAACCAAAAAAGCAAAACAAATCAACCCCTGACATGAGTGCCCTCAACTGGTGAAATCACTCCAGAGTATTCCTTTAACGTATCTAGAAGACAGCAAAATGACAGCTGGACACCTGGCCCTGAAGCTCCCTAACGGTGTGCACCTTGTCCGCACATCTCTCCCTGTAGTGCTGCACACTCTCCTGACACTCGTGAAGCCTCCGTTCCGCCGCCGTCACCGAATCGCGGACGTGCTCTAACTCCTTCAGATGAGACTCCGTCTGGCCTCTCATCTGAGTTGGAGCATTAGGGAAATAAGTGCAAGGTCACACATTCAGCATTAATGTCTTCACTACCTTACATACTACATATGCTCGTAATACAATGAGTATTTTAGGTATAATGGTTTTAAGCAAAATGATTCAACCAAATAAATACGAATAAACATGAACTTGGACTCTGCCAACTAAGAACATATAACTCAAAAGCGGGCTGCAATTTAGTTTGCAAAAAGTCTGTTGAGTAACTAATATAACACTGTATGTTAATTATACTGGGATTAAAATTTAAAAAGTAGTTGAAAATAAGTTTGTTGAGTAAATGCATATAATATTAGCCTGCAGGGAGAATGTTTAACGTACTGAGGAAAGCAAACTTCCTGAATCCTGTAATTTATACTCAGGCATAGTTATTACTAGTAAAGCTAGTGTGGTAGTTTTCTACTACCCAGCCATCAGTCTAAAGTAATCGTCACTCTCTGTCATTTAGTCTTGTAACTCAGATCTTTTAGTCAGAACAGCCTTGCTACACTCATCTTCGTTCAGGTTGGTGGGGTTTACTATATATTATTTCTAGTTAGCTAATGTCATCAGTACTCAGTAGACTGTAACTTCATCCTTAGTGTTACTGTGAGCAAGTCTCCCTAATTTTATCTACATTCATCCCTTTGGCTAGTGCGGTACCTCACTGTGGCATTTTTGTGGAAATGTGACAAGAAGCAAACCTAAGAAATGCTTACATGGCTAATTAAGAAAAAATAACAAGACATATGGCATTTAGGATGTTTATAGGAAGGAAAAAACAAGAGCCAGACTCTGTCCCTGAGACAGGGAACACCTAGAGCTACCGTGCATCACCTGGCACTCTTGATCACAAAAGGTCAAGCAAGAACAAAGTGTACCTCTGGGTCCCCAAACATCTAAGAGCCCAGGAGAAAACCATGAGAGTCAACAGTGGAAAAGGAAAAATCTCATCTTAAAAAATGACTTTTCTAGGGGCACCTGGGTGGCTCAGTCAGTTAGTGTCTGACTCTTGATTTCGGCTCAGGTCATGATCTCACATTTCATGGGTTCAAGCCCCATGTCAGGCTCTGTGCCAACAGTGCACATCCTGCTTGGGATTCTCGCTGTCTCTCTCTCTCTGCCCCTCCCCTCCTTGTGTTCCCTCTCTCTCTCAAAAGTAAATAAACTTAAAAAAAAAAATGAATGGAAATTTCTTAAAAAAAAAAAAAAAAAAACTTCTGGTTTAATACCAGTTAGAAGACATTGTGACCTCGTGGTACCTGAAAATTACAGGCTTCTGCCCCATCAGCCTTTTGAACAGGTTTTTTTTTTTTTTTAAATTTTTTTTTTCAGCAGTTATTATTTTGAAGACAAAAGTATGAAGCAGGGGGAGGGCAGGCTATTCCCTAGAATCGGAAACAGGCTCAAGCTCTGAGCCATCAGCCAAATTGACTGGCGGAAGAACTCGAACTCTGGGACAATCGTGACCTGGCTGAAGTGGGGCCGTAACAGGCCTAAGCCACCCAAGCGCCTGAATTGGGAATTTTTAATAGGCTTTTTATTTACAGTGCTGCTTAGCAAAAGAGACCTTTGCAGTGGTATGTCTCATGAGAAAAAGAGACCAGAACACATGAAATGCTAGACATGCTGCTAAAAATAGGTGAAAAGTAATTCTAAGAAAGTAGTCAGTTGCATGTTAGGTGGGCTATCTTTATCTCTGTTTAACCAGCAGAATGTCCACTCTGGCTGACCTCTTCTTCACACTCATGCCTCACTCAGACATCTCGATCCCAAATGTGGGGGCAACCCAGAGATAGTCACCTTATTATACTCAGTTGGAAGTGACTGGTAACATCCCATGATCTCTCCAGCTAGGAGTCAGTGTCCTAGGACTTCCACTGCTTCCTTACCAAAACAACATGACAAGACCCAAAGAGGGATGAGGTTTCATTTAAAAAGTTAAAAATATTCGCAAAAACATCCTAACTTGCCAACACTGGCCTTCCCCTCATTCTGTTGCAATGGGGTGACAACGGGAAATGATGCTGTTTTTTTAATATTATTTTTCCTCCAAATATTCTCTGCATTTACCAGAGAATATTTACTTTGCTTTTTAGACACAAAAGATTTAGTACCAGAAACAAAAAGGTGGGATTAAAAACGAGAGATATTCAAGTTTGCATATTTATGGTTGAGGAAGCTCAGGGATTAAGTGATAACCATTTTTTTTTGAGCTATGTTAAGTCTGCTCTTATATCAGAAAAATTAAACATTTATGCTGTTTTCAAAATATTAAGGAAAAAGTAAAAAAATAAAAAAAAAACTCATACAAACATTTCAAGCCTGGAAGAAACATTATCTCTTTAGAAAACAAACTCCTACAGAGACTTAAGACAGATAATTCCTAGGTCTAAACTAGAGAAAACAACCACAATGAAAGAATAGGTATAGTACTCATAAAGTACAAAACGTATAAATAAAATATTATTTTATTGCTTAAAACATCAAACTCACCTTCTCTAACTTTTTATTTTTGTTTTTTGTTATTAGGTTATTTTCATGTAGCAAATTTTCACATCTGCTTTTCACCATTTCAGCTGCTTCTTGCAACTTTTGTATCTGAAAATAGAGTAACATATTTTATTATTAAGACCACAATGTAAGGGCACCTGGGTGGCTCAGTCTGACTCTTTGTTTTCGGATCAGGTCATGATCTCAAGGTTCGTGAGTTTGAGCCCTGCATCAGGCTTTATGTTCATTGCATGGAGCCTACTTTGGATCTTCTGTCTCCCTCTTTCTGGCCCTCCCCTGATCATGATCTGTCTCTCAAAAATAAATAAATGTTAAAAAAAAAAAAAGGCTATAATGTAAAATAAAAAGCAAATCACTATTTCCCTATCAATACCCTCAGTATCTTTATCTTATGTTATTCCTGCTTTAATATAAGAATAGATCAGTGCTCTATTCCAAACTACAATCCTTTTATGACTTATCTGTCTTTTCCCATCAATACTTCTAGTCTCTCCCCTTAAGACTGAATATTAGAGAGATCTATACTTGCAGGTCAATGAACTTTAAGGAGAACTAAAAAAAACAATAAAAAAAAATCTGAAGACTAAGGAGTAATTGAAATATGCTGACATGTATGTCCACATGCATATTTATTTGGGAAGAGTCAGATTTATTACAACAAAATAAAATGCGTTTTTGTTTTTTTTTTTTTAAAAAGAACATTTGATCCAAACTATACCAATTATTTTACCAATTCCATACCAATTATTTTACACTCCAAAATTTAAAAATGCTCAAAAAAAAAAAAAAAAAAAAAGAAAATCTAAGCACTTCATACAAAGCCCAGAGCCTAGAACATGCACAGTATTCTTGCTGAGGGATTAAAGCCAAACACAGAGCTGGAGGATACAGATGTCATTCTCCATAATGTGTCCCGCAGTCCACTATGGCCTCCATCTTACCTCTGGTCTGGTAAGCTCCACATGACTGCAATATATATTCTTTAAGTTTATTTTTATTTATTTTGAGAGAGAGAGAGTGCAGGGGAGGGGTAGACAGAGAGGGAGAGGGAGAGAATCCTAAGGAGGCTCCATGCTATCACCGTGCAGCTCAATGCAGGACTTGAACTCATGAACTCTGAGATCATGATTTGAGCTGAAACCAAGAGTCAGAAACTCAACCAACTGAATCACCCAGGAGCCCCATGACTACAATATTCTAACTGGATGTCTCAACTTCATTTTCCCATCTAAACCATCCAGATGTACTTCCTTCCTACCTATCTACACAATGCCCTGCTTAAGCTTTTACCTTTAGTTCATTATTCTTTAATTAAAATGCTCTCTCATCCAGTAAAATCAAGCTCTGTATTGACTAGTCTGTTACCATTGTTCAAGGACCTGCATAAGTCCCATCTTCTCATACATATTTTCTTGAATACTACATTTCCAAAACATAAGGTTTTCTATAAATTGCCACTGAACACATGCTGTATTCCATATATATTTTTATATGTTCTTTTCCAGGTCTTTCATGTGACTAAATCAGAATTTTACTTTTTTTATTGGGAAAGAGGGAGTGTTGAGCTTTAATGACCGTAGAAGGGAGTCATTATTCTACATCAATACCATGACATATATAAGATGACAAATAAATATAACTAAGTTTAACAAGATTGTACCTAAGGTTTACATTACACCTACATAATTAATTTTAGATTGACTTTTAATTCTTCTTAATGTTTATTTATTTTTGAGAGAGACAGAGCACGAGCATGGGAGGGGCAGAGAGAGAGAGGGAGACACAGAATCCAAAGCAGGCTCCAGGCTTTGAGCTGTCAGCACAGAGCCCGACACAGGGCTCGAACTCACAAACTATGAGATCATGACCTGAGCCAAAGCCGGGTGCTTAACTGACTGACTGAGCAACCCAGGTGCCCCTAGATCTACTTTTAGGAATACCCAGTATATACATAGTCAATGTATGAATCAGGAATCAGCAGAATCATCTACTTATAAAAATATATGAGGCGTTAAGAAATAGATGGGACATATATTCTATCACAAGATAATAGCTCCACCTTAATTTAGATCATTAAAAATGCAGTGTTTTAAACTGTCTACAAAATTTAACATTAAAATGAATGCAATAGTCACCTGAGTTTTATATACTTCAATAAGGGCTTTCTGTTGTTTTTCTACTTCTTGCAATTCTAAGAGTTCATTTTCAACAGAAACAACCTCATCCTTCAAAGCAGCAAGGGTAGTCTAGCAAAGAATATATAAATAGATTTTATAAATCATTAGAATTCACTTATACTCTGGTGCTACAGGGTTATAAAAACATAACTCATTTATCAACAAAGTTAATAACATAATTATCTTTATTGCATAAAATTACCATTTAAATTTAAGAAGTTTAAAAAGTTAGTAATAATGAATAACTATAATAAGACTTATGTAAGACGTATATTTTTAAAACTTTTAAAATTTCCTGACAAAGAAAGACTTGGAAAATAGAAAGACCATGTTCTTTGATGGGAAGACTCAATACTAGTGACATATCAGTTTTTTCAAAACAATAACACTTTAAGTGCAATTTCAACCAAAAATACAACAGTTGGGAGGAGGGGGAATATAACAAAGTTAATTTTAAAATTCATATGGAAAAATAAATGGGAAAGACTAATACAATTCTGAAAGAAATACTAAGGTAGAGAATCTCAGTACTTATTAGATATTAGGTTGTATAAAGAACTAAAATTTTTAAGTTTACTGTGTGTGTATGTGTATGTAAATATACATATACATATATATAATATATATATATTTAATTTTAGAATTTAAAAGTCAATGGAAAAGACAAAGAAAAATACACCAAAATTATATTTAGTATATGATAAAGGTTGAATTTTTAAGTCAATGAGAAAAATGTGGATCACTAAATAATGGTAATAAGACAACTATTTAATTATTAGAAAGAAAATAGATTAACTAACTCCACCCAATATTATTTTTTGTATTTATTTTTACAAAATATATTTATATACTTACTTAAAATAAAGCTTTAAAATTTTTCACAGAAGATACAGCTAAAATTTTGATTTTAGGATAGCAAAACCCCTACTAAGCATAGAATCAAAAAAAGATATCAAGCATTCTAAGGGTTTGGGATTTTACCTTCCAAGTTTACAAGTTAGCCTGGAACAGTTTCATGGATGCTAGCAAAGGATGTGAGACTCCTGGGTCAGAGACACAAAACTTCATTGCAGCAATAGCAGTAGCCAGATGCCAGATTTGCGGTAGCTTCCTAAGCCCCAGCTCCCACAGGGCAACACTGTGAGGGCCAGATGACACTCACACCTTTCAGGGGAGGCACTACCGAGGCGCAACGCTGAGTTTAGGGAACCCAGATCTCTTATAACAGGCAGTAAGTATGTCTGCCCTTTGGTAAGGAAAACATTGCTATCTCCAAGGATGTCCATTATACAAACATCCTTGAAAAGATAGTCTGGATCTCAAGCAGTCAGTCCTTTCTACTTGTAAGATATGCAGAAATGTGACAGACTCAACAGAAGCCATAAAAGAAAAAAAATATGTATACATACATATGTGTAAATGCATCTCCCTGAACTTCATTGCCCCCTCGAAAAATTTAAGAGGCAAACAAAATGTAAAAGAGAATAACAAATTATGACAAAAGATTAATACCTGAGTTCTTACATGTTAATTAGAAAAAAGACCTAAAGGATAATGAGTAGGTAATTCATAAAGGCAGAAATGTAAATGACCAATAAATACATGAAAAAACATATTTACTGGTCATTAAAACATACTCTGGGCACTGGATATTCTTCTATTAATGAAGAAAAGAAACAAAAAATCCCTTCCTTCATGGGGCTCACATACCCCATGTATGGAAAGACAAAAACAAGGGATAGATGAATGCAAAACAAGAACATGAAGTAAAACACACCCTACATGAACTGTGGATGGGCCAAGGAGGTCTCCAGAAGGGACTTTTGAGCAAACACTGAAAGTGTGGGTCTTTGAGGGGAGGGAATTCCCATAGAGCAAGGCAACAGTGGGAGAAGCCCTGGCCAGTCTGGGAAAAACTATAAGAAGGTCAATGTGGCAGGAAGGGAGAAACCAAAGGGGATAGTGGAAAGATGAGGCCCGAGAAGTAATGGATAGCCAGGTGGAATAATGCTTTGTAGGTATTTATTAACCAGATATCACTGGAGGGTTTGGGTGGAGCAGTGGCATGGTGCGACTTACATTTTTATGGGAACGACTCTACTGCTGCACTGTAATCTGAGTGCAGGTAGGGTGGAAATAAAGAGGCGTTGGGAAGTCACTGTAACTGTGAGATATGCTGGTGGCTTAAACCACGACAGTAGCAGTGGTGCTGGGGAGAGATGGTCAAATCCTAGATCTATCTGTAGTAGATCTGCTGACAGACCGGAAGCAGATGGGAGAGAAAGGAGTCAGGATGACACCAGGTAAAAGAAGGGTGATTGCTGTTACCTGAGATGAGGACAACTGTAGGATGAGCTATTTGGGGGAATACAGAAGCTCTATTTTTGTTGTTGTTGTTGTTGATTTTCCAGAGGGGTGGGGGGGATGAGCAGAGAGAGAGGGAAACAGAGGATCTGAAGCAGGTCCTGCACTGAAAGCAGACAGCCCGATGCAGGGCTCAAACTCACGAACTGTGAGATCATGACCTGAGTGGAAGTCTGACACGTAAGGGCTGAGCCACCCAGGTGCCCCTACAGGAAGTCTATTTTAAACATGCTAACTTTGAGACACCTATTAAATACCCAAGTGGAAATTTCAAGTAGGCAGTAGAATACCTGTCAGGAATTCGGGGGCAAGGTCTAGGCTAGAGATATAAATTTGAGAGCCCCCAGGATATACCTTAAAGCCCCAGCACTAGATGAGATCATCTATCAAATTTGGAGAGATCTCTTCTAAAATTGTCTAGTACTGGAAAAAATATAGGGACCCAATTATGATGGGTAATTTGGAAATATATAACACCAACACTAAAAATGAGCCTTCCTTTTGACCATATAATTACAATTCTATCCTAAATGTATCCTAAGAAAACAGATATGCAAAAAGACTCAAGGAAACTGTCCACATTTTTATTTATAGCAGCAAAACACTGGAAGTGGTCCAAAATCCCCAAAACTATATGCTAAAATAGTAACTTTAGTTTCAGTTATGAGATCACAAGAGATTTTTAAATGTTTCCCTTTATGCGTTTCTGTTTTTCCAACTCTTTATAATGAACAAATAGAACTTATAACCATCCAAATAAACTCTTGCAATTTCAAGAGAAGAGGTCACTGGGTCTTGAAAGCAATATCAGCTCAATTTTTTTTTCATTTGAAACATTAAAATCTAAAATTATTCTGGTCACTAAAAGTAACAAAATACAACATCTAGGCAATTTTGCATTGCAAATAACATATGCCAAACACATCTAAACTTCTTTCCTTAAACAAAACCCAGAGAATAATCAATTAAAAATACATGTTTGCAAATTATTCATAGGATGTAAGATGTAAATTTTAACCCAATGATTTTTATACCAGGTAAATTTAAAATTAATTCCATTTACCACGTGATTAAAAATTAGATTCATAATGGATGAAATATTGATTATGCTAATCTTTTCTCTCTGAAGGCTATCAAGGAAATTAAGGAAATAAACATAATAAATAAAATTGTTTCCTCTTCCAAGAAAAAACATTTTAAACATTCATTCAATAAATATTGAGACCTCAGTGTATGTCACACCTTCCCTGGGCATTCTGGGCACACAAAGATGGGAGTTGATAAAGAGAGATTCATCCTAATTGAAAAGACTGTGGGGGAAGTAGCATTTGAGCTGAACTAAGGCAGTTCTGAGATATCACCAGGAAAAATAACTGCAAACTGGAAATACAGTAAAACTATAGGAATAGATAGAGGAAAACATGAATAAAATGCAGAAAATAATGAGTATTCATATTTGGCTAGAGCCCAGGATAACCAGAAGACTATATTCCCCAGTCTCCCTTGCACCTAGTTGGGGCCACGTACCTGAATAAGTAGAAGGTAGAGTGGTACGGAACTTACAGGAATTCTCCCTGAGAGGAAGTGAAACAGGAGATGAAAAGAAAGGGGGGGAAATAATTCATCTTTTTCCCCTTGCATCCTTCTGCTCGAAACTTGGCTATAATGACTGGCGCTTCAGCAGTCATTTTGGATCATGAGAGTCATAACCTAGGAATGGCAATGGGGGAGAGCTAAAAAGAGGCTAGGTTCTCTGATGCCATATCAGCTTTGAGCTGCCAACTCTGGCCTTCTTTTACATAAAGAGATTCTTTTCTGTGTTCTATTTACTATCCTCCAAAAATTGTATTAAAAAACTGAAAAGGATGCCGTCATCTTTAATCAAGTCTCATCTGGTTACATGTATCTCTAATTGAGAACTCAAACATTTTTTTCTCAGAAAGTATAAAAAAACTTCTCCATTTTTCTCTGGTACACATACAAACCAATCACCCCTTGGATTTGATTAAGTTGGAAAATTCTTTCTGGTTATGAAGCAGCCAAGAACATACTTTCTGGTTTCAAACAAACCAGGCCTGAGGTTACATCCTATCGTAACCATGACACCTAGAAAAAAATCTTACACATTAAAGTTAATGTAATTTTGGATGATTCAACAGATAAAATTGGAGAACAAATAGTTTTTTAAAAAGTTGAAACAGTTGTTCAACCTCACAAGTCTTATTTAATATTGCTGAAAACAACTTTAACACGTATCTGTGTATACAACTATAAACACAAATCTATACACAAGTACATGTCTACATGTGTATGTACAGATATATAGAATATATATATATCTATGATATATATCTATGATATGAATATATAGTTTTATAAGTTGCATATTATAATGATACTCTAATACCCTGACAAACATAAAGGACAAAATGACACAACAGCACTATCCTAAGCATGCTGTTATTTCCAGCTACTTCTACTATGTTGTCATTAGACAATATATACACATACACACAGGAACACATATTACCTTTAATTTTGTATTCTCAAGATTCAGAGTTTCATTTTCATATTCAACTGAGTGAAGTTTTCTAAGAATTTCTTCACATGAATTTTTACCAACGTCTTCTACTTTCTTCAGGTCTTCCAAAAGATTAGTAATTTGCCTTTGTGAGATAAATGATATATTTCATAAAAGTCACAGAAACTTTCATTTAAATAATGCTTTTTAAGTGTGCTTATAAAATTATTTTGGTAGGGTGCACTGTTTCAAAAGTTAATACAAGCCATGGACCAAGGTAAACAGGAAGCAGTTATCTATCAGGTTACTACCTGAGTAACACTGATTAGCAATTATTACCCATCAATGAAGCCAATGAGAAATTACACAACGTTCTCTTCACTATTCAATAAAATGTCTAAACTGTCATCCAAAGGTAGTCTGTCTGTCTCTCATTCACACACATGCACATACATATACACAATCTCAGGGACAAAGTTAAATAAAAGGCTCAAGTGAGGCAATACTTCACCTTTAGAAGCAAATGATACACGCTAGTTTACAATGATAAAACTGAAGAGAACATACAGAAGATAAAACATTTAAAAACAGATATTCAGGGTTCATTATTGTTAATCAGTAATAAATTTGAATAAAAGATATGCATTTTGAATCACTGATTTTTCTTTGTTACATAATCCAGGCACTTAAAGGAACAATAACTTTTAGGACTTTGAAACCATTTATGTTTTTATTGTAAACTCCGTTATATATTTTTATACATTCTTGCTCAGTAGAGAAATATTACTTCCATTTGAAGACAAAGCAGTGTTAACATTTACTGCAAATAATAGATGACACATACTCAAATACTAAATATTAACCTACAAAGTTCAAAATGTGAACACCAATGCACTTTTTTTTAATGTTTATTTTATTTATTTTTGAGAGACAGAGAGAGAGCGTGCACAAGCAGAAAAGGGGCAGAGAGAGAAGGAGACAGAGAATCCTAAGCAGGCTCTGCACTATCAGTACAGAGCCAGATGTGGAGCTCAAACTCCCAAACCATGAGATCATGACCTGAGCCAAAATCAAGTGTCAGACGCTTAACCGACTGAGCCACCCATTCCCCCTAGCCAATGCACTTTTTAATGGGTAATCATTTTATTGCATTTTTGTAATAGAATAAGAAAAGTTTACAGAATTATAAATAGCAAGAATATCAAATCATACGGACAACCTTTACCACATGTAACCCAGAAGAACCAAAATGCAAACCACTTAAAAGAGGAAAGAACTAAAAACACTTATTAAACACTAAAGAGTTTCTAAATTTTTTTCTTACTTTTTCATTGTTTCAATCTGAACTTCCAATTCAGTTTTTTCTATTACAATTTTCTCATAATGACTTTTCCAGGTATTGGAAGCTGAAATTGTTTCGGACAGCTTGGCTTCCTAAAAAATACATCAAGTACTCATCTTGTAATTAAATAACACTTTGGTTTTGTGCAGAGCCCTAAACACAAATACAACATAAACAAGGAAATGCTCATCTTATAAAGGATGGAACTCTTGATACAGAAAATTTTAGAGTACAACTCCGAACATAGGAAGCTTTTAAAGTAAACATTGATAGTATCTTTAATTAGTATTGCTTTATATGCGCACAGCGGTAGTTCTAACACATTTTAAGGATGTTAATATAACTATTTTCAAACAATGTTTCATAATTAATGAGGTTAATTTCCTTCCTATTTCCTGAACTTTCATTTTGCATTCTATGTATAGAAGATGTTAACAACCACATAAGCATCAGAGGAGAAAGAAGTCCTCAATGGTAAATACAGAAACTCTTTGCAATTCCACAATTCCACAGCATTTAGTAATCCTTATTATGGATAAATAAATGCCTTATTTCTCATTGCTATGATGATGTCAAGCTGTTTTGTAGAGGTCACTCCCATTGGCCTTCAGATACTGTTACTGTTAGCAAAGAGATGAAAATTATAGTGATGGCTTTATCCATTTTGAATGTGAGCTCCCAGACGTAGATTTTTGTGTTTCATTCATTGCTAGGGCCTTGAATAGTGCCTGCCATAAAGAAGACTCTCAATAATAGCTGTCAAATGAATCTACCCTTTACAAACCCACCTAGTGAGCTACAGTCTTTGTGCCCCCTGCCCACATTAGAACAACAAACTCACTAGGAAGACAACAGCGCCAATAATTATTAATCAGAAGATCCAGAAGAAGCAATGATAGCCACTGATATTTATTGGGGGCTTTTTTCCTTACTTCCATCATTCAACTACTTTTTTGGTTTACACTTTTTTTATAGTAATATTGTTGATACACTGAATAAAGCCTAGTATTCTGCTTTCATATTTTATGTAAAAAGAATTTTAGGTTGCACTATGAAGTTTAAGTTGGACTGTGTGTGTGTGTGTGTGTGTGTGTGTGAAGTGTAAGTTGGATAATATTCTATAACATAAAGATTCTTAGAAATTGTAGAGGAGAGGGAAGATGGCGGCGTAGGAGGAC